AACTGTGAATGAGATAGCTTTGTTATTAGAGATAGCTTCGTTGTGTTCGTCTATCTCGTTGTTATTTTTTCTCCAGTCTTCCAAGGTTGCTATTTATAGCTGGATTGGATAATCTATCTGTTGAATCAAAATAGACTATCTGTTGCATTTGCTGGCTTCAATTTTGAATGAAGATTGTGATTGAGGATTCCTCATTGGAGTGGGTGTTTGGACATACCCAATTGTTTGAGGAGGGATTCCTTTTTCCACAGAATCCGTCTTCTAGCTGTTGTTCAAGAATTCTGGACTGTAGAACTTTACTCAGTTTGTCTTCTAGTGCTTGTTTAGGAATTCTGGACGAGCTCTTTAATTTGAGGGGTCCAGACTTTGTTTTCAAGTCATTTGTTCTTGAATCAGCTTAATTATAATCTAGCCGTTGAAAATCAAGAGATTGATTTTTCCTTACCAACGGGTAGAATTTCTTCATTCAAGATTTAGAATTTTTCTAAGTCTTTTCTCACTTGTCCGCTTCTGAGAGTTCCGATTTTTTCTTGAGGCATCCGGTTCTTTTGCTGAAAAATCCGGAAGAGTCATTCACAGACTTCCGGGTGAGAAAAAGATCCGCGCTAGTCTTCCGATTTGAATGACTTAGCCTTCAGCGGGTTGTAGCGAGACATCCGGTTATCATGTAGTGTTCCAGATTAGAGGATCTTCATCTGCTTTGAGAAATCCTTACTTGTCTCTGACATTTCCGATCAAGATATCCAATTTCCATACCACAGAGTTTGATTAAGTCTTCAAGCATCAAACCACTTAAAGAAATATCACAACTTTATTGGAAATCTCAAGAACTCGGTTTTAACAATATTTCTAAAAAGAAAAATTACATTGAATATTGGGGGAGGCCTAAAGTCCTTATTACATTCTAAATACATCATCATCAAAATTTATAATATTTTTCCCAACACACTCTTGATATGCATCTTTGAGTATGTAAGATGCAGTGTAACATGCTTAAATGATGTGCGGGAAGAGTATAAACATACAACATACTATGTGAGTTTATGCTATCTACAAATTATTGACTAGTTCATGATTTTCTCATTCAGTTTTTAACTTTGATTTCTAAGTATTTCATAAACCCAGAGTGTTGATTTCCTAGTGTTTTAAGAATGTTATTCTGGAGTGTGTTTATGCATCACTTCGACCTTTGAAGCATTGTTTATGACTTTATGTTATTGTGCATTATTGGAATCAAGGTAATGCATTTTCATATCACACTCTTGCATTGAGAATAAATTTGATGGTTATTCCAATTGATTATTCAATGTGTTCTTGCTAATTAAAATGGCATTGTGCTACTTCCTATCATCATATTTCTACAATTGGTGTGTGTTGTGTTTCATTCACATGAGTCCTCCCACTTTGGTATTCTTCATTTTCTCTTTTTTTTTAAAAAATCTGTTCTTGTGTGTTGGTATGCCTTTTATATTCATTGTTATTCTTCCATTTTTGTTCACTTAATTTATATCTCATGATTTTTTTATAGCTAGTCTAATTTAAATGCAATTTGAATGCATTTATATTGAATTGTGCTGCACAAATGGTCAAAGATAAGCATTGGTTAGTAGGGGTGGGTTCGGTTTTAACGGTTCGGTTTTTACCTAAAACCAAAGACAGAACGGAAGACATATTGGCGGTTCGGTTTTGTAATAAAAAAAAGAAAACCAATCATCATACGGTTCGGTTTTTAGCGGTTTGAATTTTGGTTTTTTTCAATTCTTTCGGTTTTTTTTTAAAAATAATTTAAAAGTGAAATAATATGTTGGTGGTACTACTAATACTAATGACTATCACCAATCCATGCATTTATGATGAGGGATATAATCATATAATTTTATAAAATTATGTGGGCGGTTCTGGACTTCAAGCCTTTATGTGAATGAAGACACATATTTGATCTGTGATGCTATGGATTAGGCAATTGACATCCAATCTTGTGGGTGACCAATCAAAAAAGCTGTCATTCAAAAAAACTGCAAATATTTGTCCAAAAACTGCAAGTATCAACCCAAAAACTGCATAGAGATTCACAATGCATAACAACAAGTCAAAAACATCATAATGGTTCACAAAAAAAGTTCTAGTTTTCAACAAGTCATGTAATATTTTTTTAAAGTAGGAGGCATCACTTATATCCTCAAATTAAAAATGGCAGGCACATCTTCCAAATTAAACCTGCAAAATTAAAATTTATATGTATTCCAATTAGCTAGGATGTACTAGTAAAAAATTAACACGATACTAAAATAATAGTGTTGCCATAACTAATAGACACAACCTTCTTTGTTTATCTTGTAACCTTTGGAGGCAATTTAGACCCTTCAAGTCCACCTTCATTTGAAATTTCTAAACATAAAAAGTAAAAATACAGAAAATGTTGTTGCCAAAATAAAGTCATAAAGGAATAAATTGTAGAAGAAAGAAATTCATTCTAAAAGACAATAAAATCACCTTTCTCAAGTTCTTTGTAAAATTCCATCTCTTCAATTGTAGGCTCGTGATGTAAAGCAACATGAGTACTCCTAAGCCAATTTTGTGTGCAAATCAAGGCCTCAACCATTTTGGGGCTCAATGAACTACGAAATGGATCAATCACTCGACCACTTGTACTAAAACACGATTCAGAAGCAATCGTGGATACCGATATCGCGAGAACCTCTCTTGCAATGCAAGCCAAAATTGGGTACTTAGAGGCCCCATTCACTCTCCACCAATTCAAAATATCAAAACTTGAATTATCATCCCCTTCAATTGCATCTGCACTATACCTATCCACGTCGTTGCTTACAATACCAGCTTTGTTCGCTCTGCGCTTTTGCTCCTTTTCTACCAATTTCCTCTCAACTTGTGTCATTGGTAAAACAGAATTTGCTTCGAGTGAAACTGGAAACTTATGAGAACCATTAGTAGTGGTTGTTTGAGTCATTTGAGAAGGTGAACATCCATCTGAAGCATACAAGTTAAGTAGAGAAACCAAAAATATCTTCAACTCCGTAATGGTGTCTTCAACCCTTTTATCTGACTCCCCATAAATTAACTCCAAATAATCCCCAAGTTTCTCAAATTTATATCGCGGGTCAAGAACCATTCCAAGCAATACATAATCATTCACCTTAGTGAGATCCCCCCAATACTTATCATATTTAGCTTGCATAGGTATCACAATAGAAGATAGAAGTGTACTTCCAGGTTCTTTCATGACACCTCCAATTTTTACTAAATCCCCAAAAAGATTTGAAACTGTTGGAGTGTTTGAACAACAAACCTTTAAAGTAACTTCATAAAAAGGTCTTAAATAATGAGCAAATACCTCAGCTTTTTCCCAATCATCACAAGAAGGTGGCCCCTCCCTTCCTTTGTCTTCTTTGTTGGATTTGTCAGTTTTAAAATATCCCGGGTAGTGACCATCGTCTTCTTTCAATATGTCAAAAGCTTTACGAAACTTCACAGAAGATTGTAACATTAAAAATGTAGAGTTCCACCTAGTTGGAACATCCATTATCACAAGCCCCTTGCTTTCAACTTTCACTTTCTCCACACAAACTTTAAACATATCTAACCTTTGAGGCGATGATCTTACATATCTAACAACATTACGAATGCTTTGAATTGACTTATTCAATAACCCCAACCCATCATTCACAACCAGATTCAAAATATGTGCCACACATCTCATATGCAAATTCTTACCACAATGCAAAACTGCGTCTTTAATTTTCCAAGAGCTTATTCTTTTAATGAGATCTTTTAAACCAGAATCATTTGAAGAAGCATGGTCAACTGTAATCGTTAAAAGCTTTTCAATTCCCCATTCAATGAGACACTCTTCTAAAAGCCTGGCAATTGAGTCCCCACTATGGTTTGGAATCACACAAAAGTTCAAAATTCTTTTATGTAAAGTCCAATTCTTATCAATGAAGTGTGCAGTAATAACCATGTAGTTGATGTTTTGAATGGAGGTCCAAGTATCTGTTGTAAGAGAAATTCTATATCCACTCAAATCATCTTTTAATTTACTCTTCTCAATGTAAAACATGTTAAGCACATCTTTGGCAATTGTCTTACGACTTGGGACTCTCCAATGGGGGGATGCAACTCTACAAGTCTTGAGAACTTCCCCGTACCGCCAAGTCTTTACTTTTGTCATAAGTTAAAATTTTTTGTCTTTGACTCCATAACTCTTTATTAGGTGGGTACTCTCTACATTTATCCATGTGATTTTTCAAAGCAGTGGTACCATTTAGTTTGGGGTGAGCAGCAAAACCTTTATGCTTGCAATAATGACAAAAGGCTTTAATCTTACCAGACACAAACTTTCTGGTAAAATGCACCCAAATATCGGCCCTTTCGTTGGCTTTCAAAGCTGCCAAGTACACTTCTTCTGTCATCCCGCACAAGTCGATTATGTCATTTGAATTTTCACTTGCCTCGTTACATTGTACATTACTTTCAATCGTCTCAGATGATTGAAAAGATGGCACATCATTAATAGTATCCAATGATTCAATCTCTTTCTGCAAGACCAAAAAATATGGTAGATTAAGTTATTAAAATATGGATTATAGGATGTTAAAATATTAATGCAATCAACTTGTTAAGGTAAATGAAGGATCTTAAATGAAATATAACCTGAGAATGCGAAGTTGTTTTGGGAACTTTAGACTGTTTTGATATTGTTGAAGAATGCCGCTTCATACTTTCTATTTCCTGTGTATTTCAAAGATACCCAAAATATATCCAAAACATTTGCTGTAAAATACTAAAATTACCAAAACATTTTAAAAAAATTAAAGAACATATGCTTCATACCCAAGCATTTGCTAGAAAAAAAAAATTAAAGAACATATGCTGGAAAATTACTTTGCTGGAAAATTACTCAAACATTTGCTAGAATGACTCGATAAAAAACATTAAACAACTCTATCTTCAATTCGTACCTACTGCGATTGAAGAAGAAACTGGCGATTTGGCGAAGTGGCAAGTCGGATAGATGTTGGAGCACAATCATCACAACGAAGTGAGCGAATTGGTGAGTTGGATACTTGGATCCTAGAGCGCAGCGAAGAAGAATAGAAGATTGGAGATGTTGAAGTTGAAGAATCAAGAATGAAGAGCCCAGCGAAGAAAATTGGCGTCTCTACAAATCTGCGATGAAGGAGTCGCGTAACCCTAAAATGCTAAATGGGTAAATTAAAAGCCTAAATTCAGAATTCCTAAAAGTAAGTAAATTTTGGTTTTTAGCGGTTCTGTTCGGTTTTTTGAGTTCGGTTCTAGTTTTTGCGGTACGGTTTTTTTTTGGTATTGTTCGATTGATTTCGGTTCGGTTCTCGGTTTTCGGTTTTTCGGACCCAACCCTATTGGTTAGTCCTTATGCTTCTATTAGTCTTTTTGCTGCATATCGTGTGTATTTCTTTAACATTTTCTCTTTCTTACAAGTTTCCAAGCACTTTATTTTTCTTGACTAATTAGGTATAATATTGCGTTTAGTAGTGTGCACTCTAGATTTTGAAATGCATAGCATCGGCATTCGCTCATGGAGATAGGTAATTCTAAATCTTATTTCATTGCAGCATATCAAATTATCAGATTACGTTCTCAACTCTCTTGTTTGTATTGTATTATTTTTCTCTTTCATAACATACAGAGTATTTGTTTATAAAAATTTTAAATCAATTATGATTTTCATTTCATGTTTAATATCCTCTTCGAGAGAGTGCTCTCATCAATCGAAACTTTACATTTGTTGTATTCATTAGTGGCAAGCATCTTTGTATTTTTCACTTTATTATTTGAGTTTTACGACTTGTTATTTAAAAAGGTTTAATATGGAGTAGGTATAATTTAATGTATATTCTTCTTGTTGTTCTTCTCCCTGTAGTATGGGTGTTATAAAAAGGGGTGGATGCTCTTCAACTTGAAGCATCATTCTTAAAATAATATGCATCATGTATCACTAATTTATGCATCATTGTTAAAATGATATTCTTTCAACAATATATGCATTGTTGACCTTTTTAAATGAAAGAAAAAAAGTTGCAGGAGTAAGCTGGACAAGTTTATGGATGTTGATCTTATTCATGTTCTAGAATTTCTAAATGGTTTGATTAATCGAATCATAGTGGCAATTGATTAGTAGTTATTCTCTCTTAGTAAGAATGAGCTGATTCACTCTAGTTTCTTGTCACTTGTGAGCAATTACATGTGTTTAGATCTGTTTTAGATCAGAATTATTTTTCTCTCTGATTTCATATTTTTTATAGGATCTTCAAAAGAATTTGGTTTGGATTTTATGTTAAACAGGGAGTAGTCCAATTTTATGTATATTTTTCTTATTGCTCTTCTCCACGTGATTTTGGTGTTAAATCATGTTGGCCTTAGATTCTTTTGCATACATCATACTTTGGAGTTTGCTGCACTCTTTGTTGTTTGTTTAACATACCACCACACACTCTGTGGTTAGTTCTGCAAATTCCCTAAACCTTTTGGAAACTATGTACATCACATTGTTGCTTTTAATTTCTTTCTTTTTTTACTTTTTGTTTGCTTTTATTTGTTATATTATTAAAAAATATTGACCTTGACAATGTTGTTGAACAAGTTTGTCTTCAATGGAGGTGTACATTGGTGCTTTTATTTTGTTTCTTATTTTTTACATTTTGTGTGCTTTTTTTGTTATTGTGCATTATTAAAATCAAGGTAATGCATTTATACGAGAAGACAAAACATTCTCATATTCAAACTAAAGGATAATACATTCAGTTATTACATGTGCATTCTCCCGACACAAACATGATGCATTTGTATCCTGTGCATAGTGAAGTTTTTGCCAAAAATGATGCATTCATAATATTCTATGATGCATTTGAATATGAATTAGAAACACGTTGAATGATGCCGGTCTTAAAATATAATAATGGGTATTTAATAGGTCCAAGTGCAAGTTGAGATTCTCTTTGAAAAAAATAAATCATTGCCTATTAGCTCAAATGGTAGAGCGGTATGTACTACGGATGTGGGTTCGAATCCCGCATAGGCTAACTATTTCTCCATTTTGTATTACCTTGGTTTTGAATATAATGCATTCTCATGCTTTCTTATCAGATACAAAGTCATTCAAGAGTCATTATTCATTAATTTACAAGTTAATAAAATAAAATTTAAATTGAATCTAATGAACAAATCTCAATGCATATATAGATTATTACAGTGCATTCGTTATTAGTTGTGTCTACATATTTTAGATGTAAATTTTGCATTCTTTAGAATAGACACTACATCAAGACAAAAATATCAAGATGTCACCAGATTTTTTTATTTAATCACCCTAAACAATTAAATAAATAAAAAACTAATACTGCCTCATATTCCAAGTCTTTTTTCTATTGACAATAAATTTGTAAAAAGAAAAAAAAGAAACATGAAAATAATGTATGGAGTTCTAATGGGGTGGTATGCGTGGAAAAAGATATATTGGATGATTCTACCGTTTAAAAAAAGCAACCTAAGATTACAATAATACCCTTCTCAACCGTTTCCCCCTAATTACATGCACTAAAATCTAGGCTTTCCATATGAAGCCACTTTTAAAAGAAAAAATAACGCACACATCATGACCGTGCGATTTTCCTCATCCAGCGGTAATCTTCCATTCTTATTTCTTTCACCAAGCACCCTTCTCACAAGAACCGGCCCCTATATATATATATATATATATATATATATATATATATATATATATATATATATATATATATATATATATATATATATATATATATATATATATATATATATATATATATATATATATATATATATATATATATATATATATATATATATATATATATATATATATATATATATATATATATATTAAACGGAAGAAAATTTTTTATTAATGAAAACGAAATGAGGGGAGGCGCTCGTTGATAAGAGCGGCCATTACAGATGAAGGACAGTCCCTAAAATTACAGTATTCAATGAAAGAACAATCTTTGTCCCTATCCTCCTTAGCTAAGAGATCCGCAGCATGGTTACCTTCCCGCAAGGTATGTGAGCGCCAGACGTCATTCTCATGAATCAGTTTGGCTAAGGTATCTATCGGAAAAGGAGAATGAGTGTAATACGTGTAATATCCAATTCTCTTCAAAATCTCCAAGGCATCAGTTTCATAAACAAGAAGATGATGAAAGTTGAGAGCCCATTTAATACCTTTGATGGAGGCATCTAGTTCGGCTTGGTAGGGGGATGAACCAGAGACTGAAAAGGAAGACGCACGCACAAATCTGCCCTCATCATCTCGAAGAATCGCTGCACCACGTTTGGACCCAGAGGTGAAGGATGCATCAATGTTAAGCTTGAGGCGCCCCTTAGGAGGAGCTAACCACTTAACAACTCGAATTTTATGGGCCTTAGGGAAGAAA